GTGTCCCCTGGTTGGGCTGTTCCGGTGTCCCCTGGTTGGGCTGTTCTGGTGTCCCCTGGTTGGGCTGTTCTGGTGTCCCCTGGTTGGGCTGTTCCATGGTGTCCCCTGGCCGGGTGCGGGGGACCAGGGCTCCCCACTGCCACCTTCAGCCTGGGCACGGGCACGGGGTGATGTTGGGGGCCGGCGGTCGGTCCCCGCTGGGCAGCGGCTCCCGGCACTGCTTCGGTGCGCCGCAGCGGGGGTCCCGGCAGCGGCCGGGGGGCCTGGAGCCCCGGGGGCGGGCCGGGGGGCGCAGCCCCCACAGCCCCTGCAGCCGCCGTGCGCCCGCAGGCACCGAGTCCTTCGGGCTGTTCTCGTGCACGGTGAACGGGGAGGAGCGGGAGCAGACCCACCGCGCCGTGTTCAGGTGAGCAGCGCGGCCCCGGGGCGCGGGCGGCTCCCGGCGCCGGCAGCGCCCCGTCCCGCCGCCCTCGCCGCCCGCAGGTTCATCCCGCGCCACGAGGACGAGCTGGAGCTCGACGTGGACGACCCCATCCTGGTGGAGCTGGAGGAGGACGACTACTGGTACCGGGGCTACAACATGCGCACGGGCGAGAGGGGCATCTTCCCCGCCTTCTACGCCCACGAGGTCGTCGGCCAGGCCCGCGACGTTGGCGGTAGGGGCAGCGCCCGCGGGGGCCGCGGAGAGAGGCACGGTGCCACCCGTGCCACCTGTGTCACCCGTGTCACCCACATCACCCGTGTCACCTGTGTCACCTGTGCCACCTGCATCACCTGTGCCACCCGTGTCACCGGTGTCACCTGTGCCACCTGCATCACCTGTGCCACCCGTGCCAGCCGTGCCACCCGTGCCCCCTGTGCCCCCTGTGCCACCTGTGTCACCCGTGTCACCCGTGTCACCTGTGCCACCTGCATCACCTGTGCCTCCTGTACCTCCCGTGCCAGCCGTGCCACCCGTGCCACCTGTGTCACCCGTGTCACCCACATCACCCGTGTCACCCGTGTCACCTGTGCCACCTGCATCACCTGTGCCACCCGTGTCACCCGTGCCAGCCGTGCCACCTGTCACCCGTGTCACCCGTGTCACCCGTGTCACCCGTGCCACCTGCATCACCTGTGCCACCTGTGTCACCCGTGCCAGCCGTGCCACCTGTGCCCCCTGTGCCTCCTGTGTCACCCGTGTCACCCGTGTCACCTGTGCCACCTGCATCACCTGTGCCTCCTGTGCCACCCATGCCTCCCGTGCCAGCCGTGCCACCTGTGCCCCCTGTGCCACCTGTGTCACCCATGTCACCCACATCACCCGTGTCACCTGTGTCACCTGTGCCACCTGCATCACCTGTGCCACCCGTGCCTCCCGTGCCAGCCGTGCCACCTGTCACCCGTGTCACCCACATCACCCGTGTCACCCGTGTCACCTGTGCCACCTGCATCACCTGTGCC